GTTCTTTATCATATCGAACACCCAAAGACGTAAATGCAAATTGGTTGTTTATTGTTCTTATGCAATCCCTAAAAAGTTTTCCCTCACATGTCTGGGCCAACAAAAGTTCTTTCAAAATTACAGGTAACGAATGGCTTACCAGTCTAATCTTACCTTCAGCACAACAAAATTTAGGTGGTTCAAACTGTAATCTCAAAGCGCCACAGTGAAGGCAATCACTCCGCGACCGTAGAGTCGCCGCTACCGTAGGTAAGTTAAGAAGCATGTGGCGCCCATCTCTGTACCCACGACCTACATGCAAAGAGAATTGGAAGGGAAAAATAATCAACAACTTGTCAAAACCCAAAAAAACCATAATACACACGAAAGAGAGAGCAGCAAACTTGAGGCACGACCCCATCTCGAGGAGTGATTCTGAACTGTAGAAAGGCCTACGATAACAGAAGAGGCACACAAAGTTAAAAATTTCGATCCCACATGCACAAAATGTAATTAAACAGGAAAAACCCAACGACAACTTGAAAGAACCCACCGCGATCATTCACCAAACGCACATTTCGCACGACAGGCATGGGAGGAAAACCTGTAACCAAACCACAAAATGATACATTCCATGAAATAAATAGGCCAAAGAAACGCGACAGAATTTTGTGCAACAACAAACCCAAACAGCACCCAAAATTCCAATTTGTTTCACACACAAAGGCACACCTGACGTCTGTTCGGATGGAAGAGCAGTACTGGGAGCCACGGGTAGACCGTTCGATCTTAAGTCTGGCCGAGTGGCAGAGCCTGCACTGTACGTCGACGAAGCAGACTTAGCCATCCGCCTTTTCTTGGCCCTCCAATTATTAAGAGAAGATTGGCGTCTGTCCATGGCCGACCCAGAAGGCTCATTACCTCCTGATCGATGCACAGGTTCCATATTCTCGTTCTATAACAAACTAATTACTGCATACAATCGAGAAGAACAATTAAGACAGAACAGAAAGGGGTAAAAAAAAAGGCTCCAGCAAACATAACATCACGACATCTATCCGTCAGAAACCAGTAAAAAAAATAGACCTCACTCTTGTAACAACACAACATGAACAAAAAAAAAAAGGAAAAAAAACAGAAAATACGGGCCAGCCGAAACACCGCGTAACGTGCTGCAATCTACAATCAACAGTCCATACAGACCCAAGAAAACAGTCCACACAGACTGAAGAAAACACAAATTGCAAATTAAAACAACTAAACATTAGGCAAATTTTTCACTATGGGTGATTGGTGGAAAAGAACCAGTCAGTCTCACCAAGTTCAGGAGCAATACACTTTGTAAATTCTGTAACCAGTCACTGAAACTTGTACTCTGGGAAAAGTTGGGAAAGAAAAAGGCAATCAATTATTTGGAATCTCAATCACAGAGGGATAAGACCCTAAAGATCCTGGCTCATTTGAACACATGCACTCTGCATCTACTCCATTTCAACCTTTGTAAAATACAAGGATAAAGGAACAGTCCGAACATTAGCCCACAACACATACGGCACAGACAATTACCAAACACATCTCCAATAACAACACATTACATTCGAAACACAAGTAGGCACTAAATTTTTTTCTTTCAAAAAAAAAAATTAACATAACAAAGGCAGACACCAGAACACGACCAATGCATACCTTCTCCAGAACACAATTATGTTTTTAAAAAAATTAAAAAGCAAGGAAATTTAGCCGACCCCAGACCCAAAACGCAGCCTCCCCACAAATAATAATAAAAAAAAAAGTTAGAATCCCGCAATCAATCTAACAAAATCGAAAGTGAAAATCAATCAGTTGAGCGTTTTCACAGGGAGCCGTAATCTGTAATTGAAAAGACCGGAACAAACAATATTTCAGAGGAAAAATGTACCAATATGCACCTTCGCCGCTGATCATCTCTTAAATCGTGTAGTTCGATTTCAACACTCACAAGTTTTTTTTTTTTTGCTGAGAGAGGGTTTTCGAAAAATAAGCTTCAAAAATGAGAAGAATTGAGTTGATTGTTGGGTGCGAGAAAGGCTTCTTCACCAAGCAAAAAATATTGGAAGACAACTCGCACGTCGCACCAGATATTCGGGGAGGAAATCCCGCAGAAGGAAAGAAAAGTTGCAGTGACATGATCTGTAAAAAGAGTTTAAAGGCAATGAATTTAGTGGTAATGTCCGAAAAAAAGGCATCAGAGGTAAAAGGAGTGCAAAAAATGTATGAAAAAAATTTTACACCAAATGACCACAATAACCCTTTAAACATGTGAACTAAAAACAAAGAACACAAACATGAGGGGGCATTTTGGGAAAAAAAATGACACATGTCAAGCTCTCAACCCCTTACATTTTTGCTTATATGTAAGGGGGAGATATTGGTAAATAGCCGTTACAAAAATAACCGTTAACTAGCCGTTGGTTTTTATTTTTTTTTATTTTATTTTAACTAAAATAACATATAACAATATGTGTTAATGGTAAATTATAAAAACTCTAATTAATCATGCATATTAGCTTAAAGATTTTTCCGAATTATTTGATGAACATTTTCGTAAATATAACAAAGCAAGTAAAAAAAATGCTCCACATTACTTGATAAATTTTACGGTGGGTACAAGAATAAACAGTTATAAATTTCACGCCACATTACTGGGTAAACCATTTTGTGGGTGTTAAGTATAAGTAATAATATTATTTATTATAACTTGAATAATAATTCATAAACAAATTTAATAATATCATCTTACCACATATTATTGACTATGACATAGCCTAATTTGTCAATAATAATGGTAATGTGTAAATAACATCATATTTAGTATATTCATACCACATATCCTTAACTGTGGCAGAGCCTAAGTTGTCAAGAATAATGGTAATATGTATATATATCTTTGACTGTGGCAGAACCTAACTTGTCAAGAATAATAGTAATATGTATATATATCCTTGACTGTGGCAGAGCCTAACTTGTCAAGAATAATGGTAATATGTATATTAGTGAAACATAATACATATACATATATATATATGTTATTATTATTATTATATTCCTACCTTTCTTGACCGGGTAGAGCGCTCGTACTGATAACGTGTTATAAAATGCGAGAAATATAAAGAACACAATGTAAAAACTGGATATAAATTGTACTAAGCTTTCTTTCCTTCTTTCACTTCATCCGTACATCAATTGCACTACATCCATTGCCTTTTATAGCCAAATTTGGCACACAATCCAATACATTATATAATATAATAATGAAAAGATAATATTTGTTAATAGTGGTAAATCCACTTGTTCCTAACATGTTGGACTATATATGTAACACCCCTCCTTATCGTAAAATTAGAGTGCGCAAAAATTCGCAAAGTCTTTTACAAATAAAACCTTTTTACTTTGGGAAAACTGATTCGGGGTGCTACCTTAAATCGTGTTTGAAAACCGTTATTTTAGTTTTAATAAAATCATCCGGTTACTGAAAACATAAATTTCTCAAAAGTTCATCAAAAGATAAGTTCGTCAAAATGAGTACGTCAAAAGTCATCAAAAACATCGTCACAAGTCATCAAAATATCATTAGCGGAAGCGTAAGTCATCATAATAATTATACAGTCCAAAACATGAATATCCTGAAGCTTTCGTCATGTCACGCTCCCGGTCCGACATCCTGACCTGAAAAACATGATAAAAATGGGGAGTGA